AATACAAATATCCATCAGAACTTCCCGATATACAGATATACAATTTTGTGTTTTAACCCAACAGATCTTGTATTATAGTTAACATTATAAGGCAGATTTTTCTATTAGAAATCCACTAAAGTTTTAAACAATTTCTGGATCTGCTTCAAGTTTCGTTGGATTTGACATATTTGGAATATTTTAAACTTAAACTAATTTGTTGTATACGATTTTAAAACTACTGAACTATTTGCAATTTTTTAATTATTTAATACTTATTTCTAATATGTATGTCCGAATGAAGATCTCTGTATATGGTGTAGGTAATAGTAAAGTATTTTTGTTTTCCAATCTCAAAGGCTTATGTGTATTTTTATTTTATATTAAGATTAGAAATAAATTTTTAATTATTTATGTTCTCAACAATAATTTTTAAACTGAAAGATTTTAATTTCATTATTTATTTTTTCTTTCTTTGTCCATTTTTTTATTTTCGCAGACCCTAAATTCTTCTGAAAAAAACTACATAGAATTATATGTTTTGTATGGTTCTACAACACACGCACACATATATAGATGTAGATATGTTAATGGAATTGTGTCTGTAGTCTAATCATCAACCATTAACATATGTCCGTCCTGTCTCAGAGTTTATTTTTCTGGAACTGTACTATGGACTCAAAATCCTTGGAGTCCTTCATCAACATAGTGAAACGTCCAAAGCATCCTAGCACGGGCTAATCATGTGATGTCTACAGCTCTACATCTATCATCAACGCAAAGCTGAGCAGAGGAATAAACAACATTTTTTTCACCACTCGATGTCCTTAGTTTTTCATTAATGAAAAAACTGAAAAAATGTCTTTTTAAGTTCAATTATAACACACACACATACTTACACCCAAACATATTTTACATTGTATATGTATATATTTTTTATTTTTTTCTATTTATTATTAAATAATTAATTTATTTATAAATTTCAACAAACCGAAAAAAAAAACAAATTTTTAAATTATACAAATACAAAATATAGCACACGTATATATATATATATATATTTTCTTTTTAATTTCTACTCCAACTATTTTTTTAGTAATGACACATTTGCCAATGATGAAATTCCCGAAATACTCTTTTCCAAAGGCACCTCACCTGCACCAGGACGTATTTTATTTTGGTAGTAAAAAATAAAATTTAAATATTTTTTTATCTATCCCACACATATTTGTACAAAAATCACTAGAATTTGTTAAAAGTTACTTTTCTTTTTAATTTAGAGTATTATTAGAAATTACGAATAACGATAAATAAAATTTTAATACAAAAGGCAACGAAAATGTTTTTTTTTTTGAAATTTTAGTCGAAGGCAAATACCAACTCCAAACTTTAAGCCTGCTCCATTCATCATTCTTCCCTACTACTACCTACCATTACTATTTTATAAAATATGTAATGTAATTGATTGTCGATTTATTTAAATAAAACAAATAAACAGATTTAAAAACAAATACAAAAAATTTTTTTTTTATTTATATATGGAAATTTGAAAAATCTGTTAATGGGGGTCCCCAAATGGGGGTTCTTAGTAATATTAACAGTTCCGTATTTAATTGTAAAACAGTAAAGTGGCGCATGTTTAAATTTTGTAATTTTGAGTAAAATTCACAAAGATACCAGGCGCCCAGAATAAAATAGCCAGTTGCCCGGAAAAAAATAAAAATGTCTTGATCTGGCAACTCCCTGCCAAAAAAAATCGACCGCCTAAAAGTATGCTAGAATTTTTTTAATTTCTTAGTGCAGCATTCCCAAATCCAATTTCTTATTTTTTTTTGGCGGGCTACTTTCTACCAGGTGAAAGAAAAATTGTGACGTCATCACATAAAAATATATCGCACGCGTAGGGGCGAGCATACTTACCGTATTGTATTCGCAAATCAAAAAAAAAAAAACAATATTTAAATTCGTTTATTTTTATTAAATAGTAATCGTTGTAAAAAGTATATACATATATTTAAAAAGATATATATCTTAACAACCTAAGCGACTTATTTAGTCTCTATCGTATTGCAATCCTTACATAATTTGCGTACATTTCGAAGGAAACTATTTTCGTTTAAGTTTTGAAAATTGAATTTTGTCAAAAGCAAATTTATGCAAAAATTGAAACCATATGTCTGCATGAGACTACCTTGTATAGTTATGCCATGTCCTTCCATGTAGAATTTTGTGATTGAGTGAACAGGATAACTCCAAAAATATAAATAATTATCCTTATCCTTTGTAGATCATTTTCGACTGTCATCATACGGAAATCCGAGCATATACCATACACAATAACCTGGAATGAAACATTAAAGATAAATATATTTATATATTTCATAATAAGAACGATGTTTTAATTTTAAATAAACATTTAAATAATATCGGACAAACCAATTTTAATCTGTGGCGGAATAGATTAAATATGACATTTGTTTTCTATGATTTATTTTTCAATTTAGGCTTTATAATATAGAAAACAAAATTAGTAGGTTCTTGCAGTACGGGAACAGACCAACAAGTCTTAACATATATACTATATACAAAAAGGCCCAATGTTATGTTTCTTTGGACTCGGCACACTACAATTCTGGAATGTCCTGTTGTTTTTATCGATTACTGACTGTCCAACAACGAACATGCTACAAATAAACAGATTTAAAAAAAAAATACAAAAAATGTTTTTTATTTATATATGGACATTTGAAAAATCTGTTAATGGGGGTCCCCAACATTAGTTTCTTATTACACAGTTCCGTATTTAATTATTGTAAAACAGTAAAGTGGCGTATGTTTATAAATTTTGTAATTTTGAGTAAAATTCACAAAAATACCAGTCGCCCATAATAAAATAGCCAGTTGCCCGAAAAAAAAAATTAAAAATTTCTTGATCTGGCAATTAATTCCCTGCCAAAAAAATCGACCGCCTAAAAGTATGCTAGATTTTTTAATTTCTTAGTGCAGCATTCCAAAATCCAATTTCTTATTTTTATGGCGGGCTACTTTCTACCAGGTAAAAGAAAAATTGTGACGTCATCACAGAAAAATATATCGCACGCGCAGGGGCGTGCATACTTAACGTATTGTATTCGCAAATAAAAAAAAAAACAATATTTAAATTCGTTTCTTTTTATGAAATAGTAATCGTTGTAAAAATTATATACATATATTTAAAAAGATATATATCTTAAAAACCTAAGCGACTTATTTAGTCTCTATCGTATTGCAATCCTTACATAATTTGCGTACATTTCGAAGGAAACTATTTTCGTTTAAGTTTTGAAAATTGAATTTTGTCAAAAGCAAATTTATGCAAAAATTGAAACCATATGTCTGCATGAGACTACCTTTTATAGTTATGCCATGTCATTCCATGTAGAATTTTGTGATTGAGCGAACAGGATAACTCCAAAAATATAAATAATTATCCTTATCCTTTGTAGATCATTTTCGACTGTCATCATACGGAAATCCGAGCATATACCATACACAATAACCTGGAATGAAACATTAAAGATAAATATATTTATATATTTCATAATAAGAACGATGTTTTAATTTTAAATAAACATTTAAATAATATCGGACAAACCAATTTTAATCTGTGGCGGAATAGATTAAATATGACATTTGTTTTCTATGATTTATTTTTCAATTTAGGCTTTATAATATAGAAAACAAAATTAGTAGGTTCTTGCAGTACGGGAACAGACCAACAAGTCTTAACATATATACTATATACAAAAAGGCCCAATGTTATGTTTCTTTGGACTCGGCACACTACAATTCTGGAATGTCCTGTTGTTTTTATCGATTACTGACTGTCCAACAACGAACATGCTACGTCACATAACATGTAATCAATTAGACGAACAACGACCTACGTATCCCTATTTTTACGGGGGCATTCCATCAGCTGTTTGCCATGTTGCAACGTCTCTTTCAAAACAAACATTTATTGTTATGTCCCACCTTCGTTCGTAAACAACACATGACTCTCGTCATTTATGTATATTCTTATTCGTAACACGTGGAACGTTTTTAAATAAGGTCGGTTCATTCGGTTACACGCTGGGACGAAAAGTTAGAATCAACACATCTCTCGAATTGGATTGGAGCTGTTTGGTATGGAATATATTTAGATTAGATATGTCGTCCTGATTTTCTTTTAGTTCCGATCAGCACACATTTTCGTGGAGGAATTCCATACTTCACAAATTAATGTGCCTTCTAAGACCGTCGAAACCCGGATTTTTATTAGTAAAAAATTTTGGCTTACATGCACTTTACGGACACCTATCAGATCATTTTTAAATTTTTACCATAGGTAGTCAATCTGATTACAACAACATGTAGGGGAGAAGGGGTTTAAAATTTTTTTTTAAATTTTTTTACATATGTAAACGTTACATATGTACCTATTAGTTAAAATTTATAAGAAACGAAAAATGTTAAAATAAAAAATTTTATGAGGCTTGAAAGAAAAATGTATGTCTTCACAGTACTTCACGAGATATGTCGTTCCAAGTTCGAAAAATACCCCCAATTTTAATTAAATATCTTTAAGAAACATTTGAAGTGTTTAATGCAGTATTCTTACAGATATTTAGTAAAAAGATGGGCTATTTTTGTAACTTTGGAGCCCCATGGAAGTACTGAATTTTTAAATTATCTAAGAGGTGTCTATAAATTACACTTGTTCCAAAATTTTAATTGAAAAATTACCATTCAAAAGCCGACTATTTACGAAATATTTCAAATTTAAAAGAAAATTGTATTCGCAAAGTATCCGAAAAGAGCATGTCAACTTAACATAAGGATTCCGCTTCAATTCGGCAACTGCCTTTTCTATGACTTGGTGATTTTTTTACGATCTTCCAAATTCTAAACGAATCTTAACACATATATTGCCTATAACCCTAAGGTCCCATATAATTAATATCACCTAAACCCATATCTAAAATTAGGCGCAACACAAAATGAGTCTAAAAATCACAGAAAACGTAGTAAACGTTCAGCCAAAGACCAACTATTTAAGGTAAATAATAAATGTAAATGAAATTTTATTGATTGGTTCCATTAAAATAAAATGGTATTCATAGTTCCACAGAATTAACACAACTCAGGAATGTAGACTTGAATGGTTTCACTTTGGGTCTAAAAAGAACATTGCCAGAGAATACAGAAGAAGAAAAACAGGAACTGGAAACGCTCTATGGTAAGTTATTATCCCACAGATCAAAATATTTTTATAATACATTATTTCCTTTCTAATAGCTCAACTTCAAAACCAATTATCCACACCGCGCATCGAACGTTTAAGTGGCAGAGCTGTAGCTGAATGGGATAACAATGTTAAAGCTGTGCGTATAATACGCAAAGATGGCAAATTTGGTACATTTGGCTATAGTGAGAATGGAGAACTATATTTGGAATATTATGAAGCATTGTTTTTATTAGAGGTGGTAAGTATTGATAATGTAATTATAAACCATTATAATCAACCTTTTGAAATTTAATGAATTTAAAATATATTTTCAATGTTTAAGAAATCTTTAGAATTTGAATATGTGGGGCGGATTAATCAAATAAAAAGAGTAGCCTGTATTTATTTATTTTTTTCTTAATATAAAATAATCTGTTTGTTAACCAGATTCATTAACTCAAGGAAATTAAATGTATTTTTCAGAACTATTCTATAATCTTGTAGGACCACCTATCTCGAATATAGAAGTGTTACTGGAAAATAATACTGTTTTCATTGATTATCTGGGAAAACGATTCTACATACAGTCAAGACATTCTAGTAGGGTGATTCTACATCTACCTTGTCAAAAAAATTCGTTCCAGTTCGATTGATTAGAAAAACTGTTCCCTTTATAGGGGAGAAATATCTGAGGACGGTATTTTTAAGGAATTCCTTTTAAGCAAAATCAATTGTATAGGGGTGATATCAATTCATACAGCTTCTCCCTAATACGTCTAAAACGCTATGATGGTTAGAATTACATTTTTTGTAAATCCTTAGGTGGTAATGGTAGGAAAATCTATTGCATAAAAACCAGTTTGTCCAAAAATCCGTTATGGGACAGATTGTCAAAACTTCGAATACTTCTAATTAAATCGTGGTTGTGGCTACGCCGTATGAAATAAGAATTGAAGTTCAAACTCTGTACTAAAATCAATATATACCCTGACAGATAGTAAATAGTTTATAAAAGCAAAAAGCTCCAAATAAATCCAAAACTTTACTGAAATACATTAAAAATATATATATAAAATTTCTTCCAACACGGTATTCTACGAATCATATGGTTATCGGGTCACACAGGAATTATAGGTAATGAGAAAACCAACCTACTCGCCAGAAGTGCTGCTGACCAGAAGTGCCGAAGGAAACCGATAAAATCTTTTAGATTTTATGGGTCTCCTTCGGAAAGAACACAAAAATGTTATCCGAAGACCCAAAAGGAAGATAATCTGAAGATGTTTTCCTAAATTTGTTCGTTTTTAGACATGTATTGAAGTTAACTACTAACTACCTATCCCAGCCTATACTTTATGTATTAACATTTATATTTATTATTCTATTACTATTTTCAGAATCGCCTTCAACTTGAATACAAATCAAGAAACCTAAGTATCGAACAAGCCTACCTCTTGCTATTGGGTGAAAATAAATCTAGCAAATATTGTGAATATCTGGTATATTCGCATTTCACACGTGTTGGTTATATTTTGGTTAAACATCAAAATATAAATTTTCCCAAATATCAAATTGAAACAGCTGAAGATTGTACCTGGGCAATATTGGAAGCAGAATTACAAAATGAAACTCTTCCGGATTATGTGAAAAAATCAATATTTTATGGCAAAGTTAAACAACAATTTGATCAAATACGAGATAATATTAAATACCAAAATAATAGAGAAGACACATCTAGCGAAATGAATGATATTGAAATGCATTTAAATGGTAATGTGAAATTAAACCTAAAACGAAAAGCGACGGAAAATGATGATAATAATTGGAATAATGCAAAGAGACGTCGTTATTGTAGTGCAAATATTTTTCGTAAAAGTTTGGTGGATTTTCTCAAAGATGAAGATGAATATAAGCAATTTAAAGAACAATTCGAGCAATTCAATATTGTGGCCCTAAAGAATTATGAAGATGATGAGGAGAAATCGGATGATGAAGAGAAGTCGGAGAACGGGGAAACTTTTCGAATAAACTTTGATGTTTATTTTCACAATGAAGGCTTTCGTAAAAGTTCACCACATATTCCGAATTTTCGTGTAATTATTTTGGAATCACATCAACGATTTCCCACACATAGAGAAATTTACTGTACATATCGTCAGCAATTGAATCCGGTGCCTTTGCTATTGGTGACTGTAAATGATTCAAAACAAATTCAGGCATTTTTGTATCATTTTAGTTGATGTTCCATTTTCCAGCCATACATACTAACAAAGATGAAAAACATACACTTCCACCTATGAAACGCAAAAAAATGAACCGGAGACACACACTTTTCAGCAATCTACTGGGTAAATTAGGAAAAAAATAATATAAACAATGTATGGTTTTGTTTACTTGAATAAACAATTTGTATTAAAATAATATATCACATCATTTATATTGTTCATAATTTCCCTATGATGTGTAATTAATATCTTTGGTTTGTTTATATTAATATTGTTTTATTTGAATATTTAGCACTGTTGTTGTGGTAAATGTTCATTATTTTGTTTTTACTCCCTACAAGTTTATATAAATATATAAAGAATTCTCATGCCATATATCATTGTTTATACAATTGAATCACTCAAATTTATCATCTTAGAAAAATTCCATAATCGTGCACAAGGTATGATATTTCCCTTTTTATTACACACATTTTTTGTACGCATGTGTATTGTTTTTGAATAGCAGTGCATTGTCTGACATAATGAAATTAAAGTAACCTCTTAAGCTATTCCTGATTTTGGAAGAATATGAATTTTTCCTTCTCTATATGACGATTGGTTTTTCCTAAATAATAGGGTATCATCATGTGATCACAGACACAACAATAAACCTTATGCCCATGGCATTTGATTAACAAAATATATAATTTTGTTTACCATTCAATAAGATTGAGGCATTAATTAACTTAAATTTATTTATAAATTATTTTAATCCAGCTGTGCGTAGACGCAATTTGCTTATTTTTGGTTGGATTATTTGCCGCGCCTAACCGCTAAATATTTTTTTTCGAATTTTCAAAAAATTCTTTGCACTTTGACTGAGGCGTACTGAGACTTTGTTTTTCACTCATTTATTGTTTGCTGAAATGTTTAAAAGAAATAAAATATAAACGAACAATTTGTTATTTTTAACATAAACAATTCGGTTTTTTTAATTACATGCGTACATACATGTGCACGTTATTTCCAAACCAGCCGCCGCCACATTGTTTATATTTTCGTCTGAGGAACTGTTGGCCAGTAAATCGCCTGATTATATTATATGGAATTTCCGGTTAATTCATATGACAATGTTCGATGTCAATAACATTATGTGTATAAAAATATATTTGCAATTATAAGGGAAATTATATTCAGATCATTTATTGTTATTGCAGAAAGGAAATTGGAATAATTTTGTAAAATCCTAAGGAATGTATTTATATTTTTAAAATATTTCACACGACCAAAAAAATGTGTATTCAAAATAATCACTTAATCGTGGCCGTATGAAATAAGAATAAAGTTTCAAACTCTGGACTAAAAGTAACAAATATCTCGACGGATATCATATAAACTGTATGATTTATAGTTTTTATACATATAAACTAATGTAACGCTTAAATGAAATGACTTGGTTGGGGTTTCATGACTAAATGCCTTTAATGGGGCATAAATAAAAAATACCGATAGACTTCACCAAGAACTCAAAATTCCATTTGATCCCCATTATTGTTAGACCAATGTCGTTGCTTTAGGCCATTAATGCCATGTACAGACGAGCGTTGTTCGCTCTCTCATTCGTTGTTCGACCCTTAATTATTAAGTAATTACTTAGTTCCCCATACAAAATTGTCTGAGCGAACACCGACTTTTGTACGTTGTTCAATTCGAATCACTCTCTGAATCACCAAGAATTTTGTCCCATCTCTAACAATTGAGAGAATTTATCGAAAATAAATTAATTTTGACAGCATGAAAATTTTTTTAATTTTTTCAAATTTTTTTCAGTAAAATTGAAAATGATGAATGAAAAGTAAACAAAATTCTAGTTTTTATATATGCAGAAGAATGTAAATTTTGTTGTCTACATAATGCAATATGCATTTCTTTCCCCTTGGTCCTAATTAGCGTACAAAACGAGAAACAAAAGTGGGGAAACCCAAACAAAAATTCTCCAATTTTTTAAATGTGACATTTGAGGTGAGAATATTTAAGAATGTATTGAAAACAACAATATTTTCAGGAAAAATGAAAAACATGAATTAAAAGTAAAGAGATAAGGGTTGATATTATAGTCAGGAGAAAGAGAATTATTTTTTCTATTTAGATCCATATGTGATTCACGCAAATATGTTATAATTTTGGTGTAAAACAAGAAACAAAAAGTTTGAAATAAAAAAAAACTCTGATGACATGAATTAAGAACAGTGTTGTATGAAGGGGTTAATTCATGTAGGTAATTCTGAGAGCGAACTACGTTGTTCGAATGCCCGTCAGAACATGGTATAATAATATATTAGACCTTAAATTTTACATTTTATATTTTATCGAACTTATAGTCGATGACTTCTAAAGTTTTTATATATGGAAATCAGCTTTGAGAAGTTTTTATGTGAGCCAACCATTTTTTTGCCATCAAACTACCGATTGCTCTGTCAGTCCCGAACCCTGGCAAAACACTTTAAGCAGTCCGGTTGATGTTTGAATCAACAAATTATTAAATCGCTCGAGTTGTGGAACATGTGGCACGATCTTGTTGAAACCACACATTCACAATAGAAGGCAAAAATAAGTCGATTATCATATACCATAACGCTCCGAATTGACCGTGACATTCGTTCCATCGTGGTTTGGACCAGAGACCACAACAAACAGTGGCTTTTTGTGAATGTAATGAACTCTCTTCAATTAATTGAGGATTCTCAGAACGCCAAATATGACAATTCTCTTTATTAACATATCCGTTTGAAAATTTTTGAAGTAGGCTTTGTCAATTTGACTTGTGAGATAGTTAGACCATCCATTTCCGTAAGTGTCAGACATTCAACTTAAAAGAAAAAATTGGTTTAACATCTTAGTTCCAAAGATGTCGAATTCCAGTCCCATACTTAAAAAAATCTTAAGAGCACCTCTTGGGTGTACCCAAAGTGATGTAGAGAAGAGTATCATTTGGTCCCTTCCTTACTGGTTTTCATGTCATAGTTACAGAATGTAGTTTAATTTGATCATTTAATAATGTCAACCCTTTTTAATTTGGAAAATTTTTTCCATTTCAAATTGTTTGAAAAATTATTATAAAATCTTATAGTACGTTTACATTTTACCGGATTTAGTTAACCCAGTGGGTTTCAATTGTCTATTCCATTGCCTATTTGTCAAATAAATCCTCATAAAGTAGGTTGCATGGTATGCTTGTCGATTGGCATATTTAAAAAAAAAAATAAAAAAGTATATTTTCTAAAGATTTTAAATATTTTATTATGAATAATTTTAGTTTATATTAATAAATGTCTACATTCTTTGATCCACATTTTTCTTAAGCTCTATTTTCTGATACTATAACTTATATTTATAGATTATAGAGGGAACTCAAAATATAAACCTTTTTTTAATTATTGCCACTGAACACGAGTTGTGTGTACATTTCGAAGGAGGATATTTTCATTTAAATTTTGAAAGCTAAATGTTTTCAACAGTAAAATTACGAAAAAAAATTGGAATTATATACCTGCATTGGACTATGTTGTGTAACTACGCCATGCTGGTCTTTGTGAATGCGAATTAATTACGCATTTTATAAAAAAAAAATATTATTTGTCATAATATTTTTAAACAATCTCACGAAATTCGTTACTGTTTTCCTAATTGGCAACCCTACCCTACTTCAAATGATGACATTTGCTCAACGACCTCTCTCTTTGTTTTTGAATAAACAAAAACAAAATACTCATTGAGTCAAATGCCATCAGAACATCAAACAAAACAAATGTTGAAAAAATTGAAAACATAATCAATATTATTCATAGAAAATTCAAAAGTTTTTCCTTTTCATATTCCCTTGAGTTTATAACTCAACTACAACAACAAAAAATCGTGAGAAATGAGTACAAGCGCAAGTGGAAAATGCTCAACATTGATGGTAAGTGGGTGCCTTGAGGGGGAGGTAAATCACAAACTGACCTACAAAAACAACACTAACACTCAGCGGCTGTACGCAACCAACTCAATGAAAACTCGTGAGGAAATTTCCCAACTGAAGTGTAACGCGGAAAATATTGTAGTACAAGCTGTTCGTGTTTTCCTTCATCATTTTTAGTTGGCTTTGAACAACGGCACGGTCGGGATTTACGCGACAAGAATAGCAGCAAGCAGTCAGTCATCGTTGAACGTAACGTCCGTGTGTGTGGTACCGATAATTTTAAAAATAAAAAAAAAAATAGTTTTGAATTGTTCTGTGGGAACAGAAATTTAGAAAGTAACAAAATCAGCAGCACAAACAGGGAGGCTAACAATCTCTGTCTATTAAATAATTCGATTAATTTTTCTCTAACAAAAATCAAATCCCTTTGATCATCATGGTGAGTAATGGAATTTCCTTGGCCTTTTGAAAATACGTTGGGATTATTATTTTCCCCCAGTAGACAGACTGACTGACACCAGGGACAAAAAAATGCAATGAATTTTATTAATTAATTGAGTTTTGAGTTTAAATTTATTATAAAAAAATACAAACTGCTTATTCCTATTCCTTATTTACTAACAAACAACCAAGTTTATTACCCCAATATCCCATCCTGCAATATTTTAATACCCCCAAGTATTTTTAGGTCATGCAATAAAATCTGTGTGAGGAGATTCCACATGTTCTATTGACTTTTATTTTTCTTCTTTTTTTATTGTCGCCGTCCTTGACCTGATTTGGTTTTTTTTCTTGTGTTACAAAATCAAGTTCATTTTCATTTCACATTGACCCTGACAATTTGCAATTTCTCGTTTTATTATAGCATTTTAAAAATATACAGTATATTCTCAGACACAATGGATGTAATGATACTGAATGCAATACTATTGCTATACGAAATAAAATATTGTGAAAAAGTAAATGTTGATTTAGATACATTATGATATATGTGAAGCAAATAGTTCAGAAATAAGTGGAGATTTATTCACATCCATACAAAATAATTAATACATATTTGTTATCAACTTATGGTCGACATGGAATTGAAATAAAAAAAAAAATAAATGAAGACTCGGATAGTTAATTTGAAAAATTATATAGTTATATGGAAGCTGTACAAATGTCACCATATGTGAGAAATTATTTACTATTAAATATTTCTACCCAACACTGATACAGTATTCAATGTCTGTGTGCATGTAACATGCTCAAAGTAACTTTTCAGGATATATATAGAATCCTTTTTGGGTTTATACAGGGTTTTAGTTGGTGAGTATGAATCTCAGTGGAAGGTTGTTCTTGTACAATCGATCCTGAAAGGGCTCAATGTTTGGTGATTTAGGCGAACTATAATGCCTTGCCTTTTGGTATCGGCAACAATCATTATGTTGAATTCTGAATAGGAGTATCTACCACAATAAAAATCCAAATGGGAATCCTACGATTTCTATGACCAAAGTTTCATATTGTTCATTGTGTTTTCGTGAATCTTATAAGGCCTGTATATTTTGCAGATTAGGGTTATGTGATTTAAAAAAGAACAAATGTAATGTTTTTTTAACAAAAAAACTTTAATTGGTTTTAATTTTCAGTAGTTAATTTAATTATAATTTGGCAAAAATTCATTCATTCACCATTATAGAAAAAAAATCATAACCCTATTACACATAGTAGTGTGCATGTAATAAAAGGTGGACAGGGGTTACATGTATTGACAGTTGTTCATCATCTCATCATAGTATTGAATATTTATGACTTGTACGGATAATTATCTACTTGTGGCTGACGGTTATTTTATTTACAAAGTTATTATAAATAACTAGCGATAAATTGTATGTTTAGTTAACAATTGATTTGCATAACATTTGAGGATGGGGTAACGTTTTGTCACGCGATACAATGTGATATGACAACAATGGGCGCAATTATTTAATATTGGAAATGGAAATAAAAAAAATATTTACATTTATATGACTAAACATGATAATGAGGTTTCATATTTATATTTTATAAAAATGACTCGAGATCGATAATGAAATGTTCTATTTAGAGGTGTTATTATGTGAACAAGTCCAGAGATTTTGACTATGACAATGCAGCATAACATGAATATATGAAAATGACATATAAAAAACACATATAAGACAATACATTCTGTAGTTTCTTATACAAAATTAATAAATATAATAAAATTATACAAATAATAACTATTAATATAGTTTTAAATATAAACTTTCGTATACCAGTTGTCGACGGTATTGTTATACAAAAACAAATCAGTCGGTATTTCATGTCATATCTTATTTATTTTCTTTTTTGCAAATTTTTGTTCTTGACTTTGAGTTTGGTAATCAATCAAGGTGAATATGTTTGCTACGATTGAATTTTTTTAGCCTTATCTAAAATAAACTTTGAAGTATTTTTAGTTTTGTTAATGAAAAAATAGAAGTTTTTAAATTTAGTTATCTAATAAAATAATTTATTTTTATAAACTCCACCATAAGGTCGAGTGTTTATGAACTTTGTCATTCCGTTTGAAACATCACGAAATATTTACGGGGAACCCCATATGTCTATATAGCGGCACAAAAAATGGAAACAACCTTTACCAAGTAGTTTGAAACATTTTGTTTTTTTTTTTTTTTTTTTGAATAGAAATGTGGATTTTTTTAATTAGGTCATAAATTTGAAGGTATATTTAAGTAAATTATATTAAGCATGATGGAATGGAATGGATAGTCTTATATGTCGTTAACTACTTGTCCTTATTCTTGTCCCAGGAGGTGCCAGCCAGAGATTTTAGATTTTGTTACAAGCTTTCACCCTCTGGTTGATGTAGTTGGAATGCAAGGAGATTTAGATGAAGTTATCAAAAACCTACCTAAGAATTTTTGCATTATCTACATTTACTTCTCGCAACACGATGGACTATGTGGTCGATAACTGAAGACTGCTCTTCCGGAAGAAATTAGCAATGATGGCTAAATATCTGGAAATTTTAAGTGCCTATGTTGATACGGCTTACTATATATAAGATATAAGATTAGATCATGGAAGATTATAGTCTTAACTTGACTCAGAAAAAAATAAATCGGATTCCTCACTTCAGATTTTTCCATATCCTGATAAATACCCGTTTGATTCTGTTCTACGAATATGGCAGAATTTAAGCGAGTCATATATAGATTTGTATTTCTCTTTTCTCTCTTTCTCTTCTTTATCTGTTTAATTCCTTTGTGGTCGATGTCAACAGGCACCCATAACTCTTTTCAAGGCCATTGCACATTTTCTTCCATAGCAAACTGGATTTTAATTTTTAAACTAATAATTTGAAACATATTTTAAAAGAAAATTAACAACTCACAATGAGATGCTTCAAAAGCTAAAATTTAATTTATATTTTTGTTATTTTCTTGTGTTTATTTGCTAATATCATTCTTCTCTTTTTTTATTTGAAAATTTTTAATCTTCATTCAAGTCTTCGAAAAAAAATAACCAGAAAGCAAAAACACCAAACGACCTTTGCTATCACCAAGCCCCTCTCCAAAATACCCTTCACCACCATAGAGCTTCTAAACGTAGGCTGGTTTAAAAAGTTGAGGAACTTAAATGAAGTTGGCCAAAAAACCCAAAACAAATAAATGAATTATTTATAAGCTAAGCAGACCCGCTTTTAGCGACGAAGAAATGAGAAATGCTGAAATGTTTGTTGACTTCCATGGTATTGTTGTTGTTTTCAATTCGCCTCCACGAAAGGGAGCTGCTATTATCAAGACTAGCTCCAATTAGTTAACAAAGAAAAATTATGGTAAATAAAATGAGATTTTTTTTTGCATTTAAAGATCATCGAACGTCGCCAATATTTATGTTATTTTTTTTGGCTGGAGCCAATGATTAGACAATAATAAATAACACATTCATTGGGCCGTCATGGAACCGGTTGCTTCTGGAATTTGTTATTGTTCAAATTTTATTTCTCTTTCTTGCTATCTTTCTGAATAGCGAGTCATTCTGCAAAACAACATTCCAATGGCCAATAATAATAATAAATATCGTGTGACGTAAATTCTTGATCGAATTTCTGTGAGAGATTGGCGCATCTAAACTATGACAACTTGACCAATTCAAATCAAATTTGCATATCAGAAATTCCCCAACAAAAAAAATATGAATAGTCATGACAAAACAAAAATATCACTGCTGAATGGCTGGAGATGAAGCAGGGAGGGCTTGAGAGGTATTGCCAGAGAAATACAACTTTAATAAAGTTGAAATAAGCGACTATTAATAACGACGACATATATTTGAAATGCGACAAACAACGGCGCCGCCTAGCCGCGCTTAATTGGAATGTGACATATAAAAATAAAACTTGAAGTTTTGTTTAGATTTTTAAACAGTCACCGTGATAATTCGCAAGTGTTAGATCGTTGTTAAGTTCTCAGCTGTTTGAAAAGGATACGAATATCCTTTATCGGCATAATGTACATAAATAAAAAATGTATACAAAAAAATAATAAAAAAAATTCTTTACACAAATAATATGACCTTGTAATGGGTCGGTCAGTGCCTCCATACCACCCACCTGAACTTGAGGTGGTTAATAAAAAAATCAATTATTTAAATATCTAATTTTGTGGATAATAAAAAAAAATTGTGATCCAAACATGTGCATGAGAACTCTAAATTCCGTTCGTTTGTCCCATTCTGCCGGTCATTCCCCAGATATTTATTTCAACGTCGCATCTAAATGATTTGAGCGAGTGAGTGAGTGAATCACTAAACTGTGTCATCATCATCATAATCATAGCTTTAATTTAGTACATATGTATGTATGTTTGTGAAATATAACAAGTGTTTTCTTAATTTGTTGATGATGACCGGCGTAACCGCACGTTTAAACAGTTGATACCCGTTATAAGTGACATGATATGCCGTTCCTCTTTTGTTTTGTTCAA